CAGGTCTCTGTAACATTTGCCAAATAATACAAATCTAAAATTACAACTGAACCTAAATTTATGTATGTTGTAATATCCTTAAGTTGCTGCGTTTTGCATTAAACAACAAACAAACAAAACATAATATCTATAAGAATTATGTTAACAATTCTTGTGCTAAAAATATCTTCCACAATCTCCATACCTCCTTCTCTATGTTTAATATGAAAACATAATAACTTCTTTTAATAATCTGAAGGAATAATAATGATAATAGCATAATAATATCATTATTTATTTTACTTGTCCTCAACTGAAGCAGACCTCCACACTATATATTCAGTGATGAAGCCCGTGAACATATTAACTATGTAACATACATTAATGGAAATTAGATGACCAGTTGAAGTTAGCAAATGATATTATTCGGTCGAACGTCTATCAGCCAATACTACATTATTGAATTGTGAGTCTACGGTGATTTTTGAAAGGCTACTCTCATAAATGTCATGACGCATTTTAATCCAGGTTTCTATACTCGCATTAATGTGCTGACTTATTATTGCGTTGATTTCATGATTGACAGTTTTCATGAAGAACATTTCACTTTGGACCAACAGTATCGACTTGCTAAATATTTTTTATATTCATGCTAGCTCGAACGATCTATTGGTTTGATTTATTGTTATGGTATCAACAAAATAAGTAGGATTTTTTCCGTTTTTGTTGATTTGCTGTTTACATATCAAAGTTGGCCAAATTGTTACAAAATGTTTGGCCACAGCAAGGCGCCACAACATATTGTGCTAGGCACGGTACAACTGGAATGCGGGAGGGCCGTATTCCTCCTTGTGGGTGACCTGCTTGGCAATATGGGACAGGAAAACAGCAGGGGGGTGAGGGCACAGTTGATGGTACAGACAGATAAGAGAGATCATTTTACAAATGTGAAACCTCATTCCACAAAGGAAGAGCCGGAAGCTGAAACTTGGTGAGATTTACAGAACAAAGGCAGTTACTTCTAGTTTCTTACTGATACTCGATGATATACTAGCCACATAAAGAAACTGTGCACGGAGAAAATATATTCTGGATTGAAATACAACACAGCAAGAACAAAATGATGCAGACGCCGTAGCAGCTGAATCATCGGACCATAAGAAAATGTCAACGGGACCTGAACAACATCTGTTACAATGACGTCAGAAGATCAAAATGGAGTGGGGGGTCAAACGACAAAGTCACAAAGTCAATAACGGGTATGACCACCCTGTGCGTGAATCACAGCAGTGCATCGGCGGAATGGGGACTGCCATATCCTCCTCAAATCCTGTGCCAAGTCACGGACGTTATCTGGAGGATGTGGAAGACGACGCAGACAGCGCTCCATTTCATCCCACACATGCACTATTGGGGAGAGATCTGGAGAATTTGCAGGCCATGGCAGTAACATGACATTGTTATGGTGAAGGAAATCCATTGTGACCCTAGCCGTGTGAGGACGAGCGTTGTCCTGTTGAAATGTCAATCCCGGGCCATGACGTTGCAGGAAAGGAATGACCACAGGCCTCAGAATCTGATCTCTGTAGCCAACACTGATGAGATTGCCCTGAACAACCACCAAAGGGGTTCGGTGCAGTGCTGTTATCCCACCCCAAATCATCACAGAGCCACCTCCAAAACGATTCCTCTCCACAATACAGTTGCGTGCATAACGTTCTCCCAAACGCCGGTAGACACGTTGGCGCCCGTCACTGTGGGAAATGTTGAACCTCGATTCATCTGTAAAGACAACATTTCTCCACCATATTCGAGGTTGGCGAACATGATTTCGACACCATCTTAGACGGTTGACGCGATGACAGTGTGTCAGGATGGGACGTATGGCAGGTCGAATCCCGTACTGACGTAAACGATTCCTGACAGTGTTGGGATGGATACGGCGCAGTCCAGGAATTGTCATGCACACACAAACACACACACACGCAAACGCACACGCACACGCACACGCACACACACGCACACACACGCACACACACATCGCACTCTTCTTTCCCCACCATTATGTCTACGTCAGCCATCATGGATCCATGCGCATTCATACATAATCCATCCTCCCACCATTCGCCAACATCCATCGAACGATAACTATATCCGCCCTCATGTATCGGTATTCGTGCTTACATACATCCATCGCACTATAACTATGACTATAACCGCCTTCGTGCATCCGCACTTATGTTAACATTGCATTGTATGCATCGAATTACACGTTTAAAATATCGTAAATACTTTACAATATGTACATATTAAATATCAGCAAACAGAGATTATCATAACGCAATAGATTTCATTCGTCAAAACATCACAGAAAGAAGGGCACCCTGGAATTTTCCAATGGCATCAGAATGCACTAAGAAGTTCAACTGGTCAGGAGGTGAAAGTTGCGGAAGATTACAATAAACTTACAGATTTCCATTTCGAATATCTAAAGTGTGAATAAAGATCACAGCTTGCTATGACGTGTATTGCATTCCTGAAGATTTAGCAATGTCATCAGCTATAAAATTTATGTTTAAATGCTCAAGTAGACAAAGACCCAAATGTTTATAGGCATGATCATATTATATTCTAAGCAAATATCTCCACATTTAAAAACAAAGCTAGATTGAGTCTTTGAAGGGCATTAAGAAGTGATATACATAAGGAAAAAAGCATGAATGTCAACGTCTTTATTATGAGGAACACAACGTTTCGGAGTATATACTCACACCTTCATCGGGTGAATAAATGCTATGAGGCAGAGAACATATATATGTACCTGTAAGAACAACAAAAGTAAAAAGATAGCAAAGAAGGAAACGTAACAAGGGAAGCCATCAGATAAGCGCTGATTACCCCGGCCTCCCGTTTGCCCATTGCCGATTACCAATCATTTTTGGCTTTAATTTGTCCATTAACGTCTATTATCTCAACCCTAAAAATTACGAGAATATGTAGTTTTCCGACAATGGGTTAGATCGCTGACTTGTGTGCTGGCGATTGGGTGCCTCACTCACAGTGTGGGCTCAAATCCCGGACGGGAGTCAACCCAAAAAAGTACGAGAATCTGTACTTTACTAAGAAAGTGTTATCCCAATTATGACATTTGTCGTCAATAAAGCACAATAAATATATTCGGCTTTTGATGGGTCATAATATCACAGACATGTACGGATATTGATGACGACTTGGAGGAGCTTCGTAACGCACGTCTTCTCAATTCAGGGATTGGTAAATCAAAATTCATCCTCGGCGGGATGGTAGTTCCAGTTGGATAAGCTTGTTAACTATGGTCTTCTTAAGGTAAAGAATGCCGCGCATGAATGTATTAATGAGATTCCAAGGTACATGGGGCCTTTTCGTCACCAGGAACACGCACAGTGGAGACTTAAATGGGGATAGGGTGTACACAATGTCATCTAACCAGACAACGTTGGTCTTTGACTAATTGTGGCGTAAAGCACACTTATTCATTTACTTGTATCGGAAATTGAATGTTGAAGTGACTTTATTGGGTAATCAAAAATGAGACAGCGACCTAAATAGCCAAATTCATACGATTTCACTTGTCAACCATCTTGGATGCAAGGCGAAAACATTTCAGCGTGTTTGAATGCCAACCGCAGAGTTGGACGAACATTCTGCGGTAGCGCGGAGTTGACCAGAGGCTATCAGCAGTATTTCCTGCATATATAGCATATGAACTTTGATTCTCAAAATGAGGATCCACGATGTTCGAAGTGTGTAATCAAACTTCACATTAGTTTTTGACTGACTGTGGCGTAATAACAAACTCATCATTTTACTTGAACTGAATGTTCATCTTGATTGTTATGGATAGTCACGGAGCCGTGATCCACTGTACAAGGTGTCATTACATAATAATAGGATTACCAGAAAAACGTGGTGTAACACCCAAGCCAATAAGCTTCGCTCAGGAACACCAGAGTAAGTAAGTACAAGATTGAAAACTGCCCAATAATTATGTATGACAGGCTTGTCGGGTATTGCTACATGTATATGTGAAAACAAAGTTATCAAAATGAAGAGCAAAACTGACGAAAGTTACCAATAAACGTCTATAAGAGTTATATCGTCACTGCAAAAATAATGAGTGTTTGTCTTTAGTATCAACATTCAAATACGTTATATCTGTATTAGCGATGTTGTCTACGTTCCACCGGCGAGTAAGACAGTAAGACATCACGATACAGTTTGGATCGGTTTGGGTGGCAGCCATAGACTAGGTTCATCTCGGAATCCCCCATATCACTGGGGCTCCTCTTCAATTTAAATTGAGTTACTTGTTTCTTTCAAAACTATACAGGTTTAGAGACTAAGCATTAGTCTGAATAGGCATCACCAGTTTGGAATTGTACGATTCCGAACTTTCACGAGACTGTAACTGAATCATTGTCAAATAGTGGTGACATGAAATCTCGGAAACAATACGCGAAATCGCGCATGCACAGAACGGAAAATTTGGACAAGGCATTAAGTAATCCGCATGCGCAGAACGATTGATTTCAATACTTCCGCTTAGCGCTTCGAGTGCAGCGTCAAAGGCGGGCCTGTAATCTAACGCGCGAGAACTGACCAATGAAATCTGAGATGTAGAAATACCGGTTGACGCTGTTGCTTGATTGACAATGTCAATCAAGAAAAGGAGGAGCTCGTTCTCTCACAGTAAATTCCGATGTCAAATAACGACGTTATTTGAACGGAAAAACGATGGTTTGTAAACGTCCAAATAACGTCGTTTTTCCGTCCAATGACCATATACGGAAAAAAACGACGTTTTCGTGTTTGCAGTGAAATCTCGACTACTCAAAAAAATTTAAATGCGTAAATTAACAATATAAAAGGTTTGTTGTGGGTATTTTTTTTATTCAAAAATGCTTGAATACTCATGGAATATATATTTGTTCAATCGTCCTTATTTATGGTGTCCAATGTTTACAACGATCTCATATTTTCAGTATTGTCAAGGAAAAACCTATCAGCAACAAACGAAAGACGTTTATGTGTTCAAATATATTTCGGACGGTGAGTGCTTCAGAATCGTTTTATTTATTCTTATTTGTTTGTGTCTATTGGTAACCCATATTTGATGAAGAGATTAAATTATTTGAACTATAATCGGTTTCTCACATTGATAATTGGTTGTCATGGCGACAGTGTAATATATGTTCTAAAACTCATATATTATCAGCCTTCGGTCAATTCAGGGGGATAGAGAATTTGAACCCTGAAGATTTTTCATTTTATGGACAGGACCCCACTTTTTACATCACTGTCCAATTGCTGTCGTGTCAATGCAGTTTGTTGGTTCTGTTGGTTTGTCCCAATCAACAATATTTATGTAATTGGATTGGTGATGTACTGGGAGTAGATGGGCTAACTGAAGTTAATAGGAAGGGTCCATGTGTGCGTTGGAGGATAAAATGTGTCTCTTACGAATTAACTACAAAGATACTACTATATTGTATTTAGTATGCATATGGCCATATCAAAGTAAAGTGGAAGGATTTTCAAAACATATTTTATTCATCACTTAGAGAGGGTTGGCAGCCCAGATTTCTTCCACATACAGAAACTTGACTCCGTGGAAGTCCTTCATTGACGAATATACAGTGTATTGTGTTCAATGGTGTTTTTGTGTGTCATGGCTTGAATCACATAATGAATAATACACAGAGAATTAGTTACATATACGTAACGAGTAGCAGCACACAGTCAATAAAAGTATGTGATACCCGACTTATATTTGTTCCATCAGACAGAAATCTAGAACATGTGTATAGGCAACATTAACTACAGCACTAACTACAAGACACAGTACTACACATACAGCACTAACTACAGCATAGGCATCAGACACTACAGTATACACTACACCACTACCTACAGGACACAGTACAATACATACAGCACTAACTACAGCAAAGGCATCGGACACTACAGTATACACTACAGCACTAACTCGGGACACAGTACAATACATACAGCACTAACTAGAGGATAGACATCATACACTACAGTATACACTACAGCACTAACTACAGGACACAGTACAACACATACAGCACTTACTACAGCATAGGCATCATACACTACAGTATATATACACTACAGCACACACAACAGGACACAATACAACACATACAGCACTTCTACAGCATAGGCATCATACACTACAGTATACACTACAGCAAACACTACAGGACACAGTACAATACATACAACACTAACTACAGCATAGGCATCATACACGACAGTATACACTACAGCACACACTACAGGACACAATACAATACATACAGCACTAACTACAGCATAGGCATCATACACTACAGTATACACTACAGCACACACTACAGGACACAGTACAATACATACAGCACTAACTACAGCATAGGCATCATACACGACAGTATACACTACAGCACACACTACAGGACACAGTACAACACATACAGCACTTCTACAGCATAGGCATCATACACTACAGTATACACTACAGCACACACTACAGGACACAGTACAATACATACAACACTAACTACAGCATAGGCATCATACACTACAGTATACACTACAGCACACACTACATGATACAGTACAATGCATACAGCACTAACTACAGCATAGGCATCATACACGACAGTATACACTACAGTATACACTACAGCACACACTACAGGACACAGTACAACACATACAGCACTAACTACAGCATAGGCGTCAGACACTACAGTATATACTACAGCACACACTACAGTACACAGTACAATACATACAGCACTAACTACAGCAAAGGCATCAAACACTACAGTATACACTACAGCACTTACTCGGGACACAGTACAACACATACAGCACTAACTAGAGGATAGACATCATACACTATAGTATACATCACAGCACTAACTACAGGACACAGTACCATACATACAGCACTAACTACAGCATAGGCATCATACACGACAGTATACACTACAGCACACACTACATGATACAGTACAATACATACAGCACTAACTACAGCATAGGCATCATACACGACAGTATACACTACAGTATACACTACAGCACACACTACAGGACACAGTACAATACATACAGCACTAACTACAGCATAGGCGTCATACACTACAGTATACACTACAGCTAACACTACAGGACACAGTACAATACATACAGCACTAACTACAGCATAGGCATCATACACGACAGTATACACTACAGTATACACTACAGCACACACTACAGGACACAGTACAATACATACAACACTAACTACATCATAGGCATCAGACACGACAGTATACACTACAGCACACACTTCAGGACACAGTACAATACATACAGCACTAACTACAGCATAGGCATCAGACACTACAGTATATACACTACAGCACACACTACAGGACACAGTACAATGCATATAGAACTTACTACAGCATAGGCATCAGACACTACATCATACACTACAGCACACACTACAGGACACAGTACAATACATACAGCACTTACTACAGCATAGGCACCATGCACTACATCATACACTACAGAACTAACTACAGCACTAACTACAGGACACAGTACAACACATACATCATACACTACAGCACAAACTACAGCATACACTACAGCTCTAACTACAGGACACATTTCAACACATACATCATACACTACAGCATACACTACAGGACACAGTACAACACATACAGCATACACTACAGGACACAGTACAACACATACAGCACTACCTACAGCATTGGCATCATACACTACAGAACTAACTACAGCACTAACTACATGACACATTTCAATACATACATCATACACTACAGCACAAACTACAGCACACACTACATCAGACACTACAACACTTGCAACAGACACTACAACACTTGCAGCAGACACTACAGCATACATGCAGCATACTCTACAGCACATATTACAGCAAATACTACAGCACACACTACATTAAATCCAAGATTTTGTACTGCCACGCCTTATGCATTCGCTACATTCTGATCAGGTATGGTCTTCGTGGGCATATAGAGAATCTCACTGTCATATATTGTGATATTAAATACATCAACACGAGCATTGCCACTTTTATCAATGAATGTTGATATATTTTATATCAAAAGGCACGAGGGTGAGATTTTATTCATCATCCAACATTATTCTTCCAACTTTTTAAGTTTGATGAAAGTATTAAGCAGTATTTTAAGTGTAAAAAGTAACCTTCAGTAGCAGAGCCATTAGTGATGACATTTGATTGTGACGTCATGGTAACCAATGACGTCACAATGGTCTGCAAAGCATTGGGGGGAGGGGGGCGGCACGGGTGGCCCAGTCGTCAAAGGCGCCGCGATTCGCTGTGCAGAGTTGTGTCCCTTGTGCACGCCAGAAACCTATGATTGTGGGTTTGAATCCCGGTTCGCCCCGATTATGTTTCTACGTTTGTCAGCACCTTATCCGTGCTCGTGGGTTTCACCGAAGTGGTAAACGTCTGAGACCTGCATCACTTCGGGCTTCCCTCCCACATTAAGCTGACACTCCGTGATATAACTGGAATACTGTTAAAAGCTGCGTTAAAACAATCTCACTCACTCACTCACTGCAAAGCATTGTGATGCAATTTCATTGCAGCGATATATTCAATGTAGACATTGCTTGATCTCACCCAAGCGGTATCTCCTGTGGGAGCCAGTTTTTTTATGATAAATAGTAACATCATACTGCATTTGACAGAATACTTATTGTCGCTGAGCACTATGGAATACACCGACCCATTTATCTTTTATCCATCCTGATTCTAGCGCTGTAGAATTCGATAGTTATTACTACCATTAACATTCTTACACATTATTGTCTGTATATTATTAAATATGTATCATAGTAATTTCATTTTGTTCATTTTGTTACAGACATTATGTCGTCACTGGATGATTTTCACATTAATGGCTGGTGTTGCGCTTTGTGCATACATGTATGTTATGCTACCGAGGACTGAAGGAATATCCAAGCAAACAGCAGCCAGAAGCAGACCTAACACTCCTTATCAGCAATTTTCATATAAAAAACAAGAAGAAAGGGGGACAATCGAAGACAAATATGTGATTTATACATGTAATATAAGTCACTGTGGGGGGTATGCTGACAGACAAAAGGGGATGGTAACAGCGTATGTCTTGTCTGAAATGCTTGGACGCAAGTTTGGCATTAGTATGATAAGGCCGTGTGACTTCTCTGAGTTTATAGTTCCAAGGGACGTTAATTGGACTATAGATATGAACTTATTTGAAGGCAAGAGAAAGGACTGGTTCGTTAATTATAAATTAAGTACGGGCGTTTTATTCGAAAGAACCGATTTGGAAGCAATTTTTCAGAAAGATGTATTGATGTACACGGGAAACATTGATTATGTCTATTCTCTTATGAAAAACCCTTTGTTTGAAAGAGTACTTTGGGCCAAGAAGTTAAGCCACCTCGATATATACAAATACGCACTGGAGAAACTGTTTAAACTTTCTCCAAAGTCTCAAAATGCACTAAATGGTATACTTGGTAGCATTGGCCCAAATTACCACAAACTGGTGTGTGCGCACATACGTATGGGTAAAAGCCTGACAATTCCAAGAGATAGAATCATGGCGAACCGTCCAAATCAAACAGCTCTGGTCAGGTTCTTCAAAAAGAGGTTACACCTGGGTCGTGATAAGTTATTCATTGCAACGGATTCCGATGATGTCAGGGAACTATTTCGTAAATCTTTCCCTGACTCCTATCTGGAGGTAAAAGGGGATGTTCTTCATATTGATAAACCACCGGTAGAATATGAGTGTTCTTCAATGGAGAAGGTGATTCTGGATCAGTATATTCTCTCCATGTGCGACACTCTGGTCATGTCCATCAGTGGCTTTAGCCGGCTGGCTGCCATTATGAGAGGGACGGATCACGACTTGTATTTGGCTCATGGAAATAACATATCACTCAGCCACAGAATAATTCCGAGCCCTCCTAAGTGTTTTCCTTACTTATCCCATACACAGCCTTGTCGTAATTCCATTACTGGTTAACCTTCCTGCCAACCCTATTGCTGTCAACTTCTTTTCACTACTGTGGAGCTTATGAACTGAATGCATAGCTGAGTTGCAAAGTCATATGACCCAAATACTTCGACACAGTGACTTGTTGTTTGCGGTGTCTGGATACAGCTAAAGTGGGTCAGTCTAGTCACGGTCCAGTGACTGCACCGCTTCCCTCGCTCTTAAGTGTTCGGCTTCCGTCACCATTCGGCAATGTCTAGACTAACACTTAGTCGCTGAAAGCTTATATTACACAATATCCTTCTTGACTCTAAAAATAATAAAAAATCCCTGTGCTGATTTCAGAACTAGCTTGAGCTGGCTAGACTTGCTTTTGTAAGCGTTTCTAGATTACTATTTTTTCATAAAATACATATATTCCACAGTCATGGTGCAGGACTAGGCAATGTCCGGCGGTCGTCGTTGTCGAGTGTCTTTATGTACATTATTAGGGAATCGGTGAACCGTGAATTATATTTTCTTGCTGTATACTCACATACTTTTATCATGTATTGATTTTATATAAGTTATATCATATATGTTTGCTATCTTCTGGGTACTATTACCTACTATGGGTATTGAAAATGTTGTTGTAACTTTGTAACGTTGATTTTCACGCATTAGCGGGATTATCTAGTACTTGTAGATATTTCTCCTGTATGTATGGTCATTTCTTCCACCTCAAAAAGTGTACATATCTATTTGTAAATCTTTAGTAGTACCGTTGAATAGCGTATATTCAGCCCTTTATTTTAATACAGTAAACTACGGTTATAACGAACACGCTTATAACGAACTGACGGACGTGGCAGATGAGCTATAGGGCTGATCGCGAGATGCTCCTACTCATAGCTTGCGTGTTTTCAGAGCCTTACTTGGGCTATACTTCCATGTGCATACTTCCATACCAGGGAAGTTAGGGCTATACTTCCATGTGCATACTTCCATAACAGGGAAGTTCAATTTGTACATAATGTGTTTATTGTAAATATCTTGTGGGTTTATTAAAAGGGTTGATTGTCCGTTTTCAGTTATAGTTTTCATTTGAGGGGTTTCTTCTCCTCAGGCAGTTTTAATCTAGTACTGACGTACTTTGGTTGTATTGAGCTAAACGTATACCTAAGGCTTTCATACTCTAGTTTTTCTAGTTATCTGTGGATAACCAACCTTCCCAGCGATTGCCTAGTTTAGGCCTAGGCCCTAATATTCACTATTGTGAGTCAAGTTATTCTTTCGGCCAAGTACCTTATTAATGATTGTGAGTCTACATACACTTTAGGTCAAATAACTTGTAGTTTTGGGGAGTTTAGAATTTCCTTGCCCAGTCAAAGTGACTGAGTCTTTAGTCAATAAGACTAGTTTCATATTCAGGCGTTATCGTGTATTTTATTGTCCAAGAGACTTATTTTAGGGATAGGTCTTCTGTGTTTATTTTCCGCTATTTAACCCAGCCGAGGTTATTCACTCATTAGAGTGTTGAATTAACTCTCAGGTGTTAATTTCTCGCAGCCGACTTATTTGGCTGTCTTTGCACCTTGTAATATTATCTTGTCAAAGTGTTGATTTAGCTACTCTCTTTTATTACTGTTATACAGTTGCTTGGGGTCGGTGGGGTTTCCTAGTGGTTCGCTAGTCATGCCAATAGAAAAATACATTATATTCATATCAAAAGGTCAGTTACTAACAGTTCAATTGTAAAACCTAGGTCTTACATTCCATATGTAATACCCTAAAGCAGGTTTAAAAACGTCAATTGAAAAACTTATGCCTTCCAATTCAAAATGTAAAATATCTGAGCATGTCTCACTTGTAAGAAGTAGTGGCGGTCGGGTAGCCTAGTGGTTAAAGCGTTCGCTCGTCACGCCGAAGCCCCGAGTTCGATTCCCGACATGGGTACAATATGTGAAGCCCATTTGTGGTGTCCCCCGCAGTGATATTGCTGGAAAGGCGGCGTAAAACCATACTCGCTCACTCACTATACAGTTGCTTACCTAATCAGCTTGGGTATTTGCTCTGATTTAATTAATAAGTGATCATTGTCATTGTACATTGGGTTTTCCCTCCTTATATTGTCGTCTATTGATACCATTAGCTGATAGTAATAAAACTTATGTACCTATTACCACGTTTACAATTATTACTTTCTTCTTGTTTGATGGCACCCTGGTCGCTGGAGCACAGCTCCGTGACAGTGGAAAACAGTTGTCCAACAGTTACATGTTTTCCCACGTTTTCCCACGTGGACATTACAGGGTGTGTCAGCGTCATGCTACTATGTTTGGTAGGTTGATTTGTTGTTTAACGCGGCATTCAGTAATATTCCACCTATATGATTAACAACAGTTTTCAAAAGAGAGTGACATGAAAGACTGTCTGTTGTATACTGATGCGTAAACAACACTAACTCTCTCCTTTGACATACATGTCGACTTCCAAATAGAAACAATAAGTTAACCCAGAAATCTGCACGTACAGGCAAGGAAGAAATAGTATACAATTAACAAGTGTAATTAAAAATAACTAGGTTTACAAATTACTGCACAGCAATTACAATGGCAATACACAATAGACTGGCAGTGGTTATAATATTCACCTACCAGCAACAGTGGTCAAGCTTTAAAAATAGGCCCTGGCTGGATATCCGGGATGAAAACAATGCTCTTCACACAGCCGCTGGTCTTGATGTAATGTGAGATGAGAGAGGCACGCTCCAGTTATATAGTCTGAATACCTTCTGGAAGGTTCTTTATCATGCTGGTTTGTTCTGTAGCCGTTCTAGAAAATTCAAGGCTTCACTTGACCCCAAATTATCTAAATAGAGTAACATCTACACCACTGCTTACATTGGACAGCAATACATTCCTGACTCCTAATTATTGTTAAAACACAATTTTATGAACAGAAACATTTTTTTCACAATACATTACACTGCCATATAACACGTGTTAATTGTAGAAGCCTGAGGCTAGTAAACATATGTATTTCTGGTATAGTTGTCAAATGTAGGCTGAAAAAAGACATTGATCTTAATTACAAATTGATATTATATTAATATAAAAAATCGAAATTGACAATATATAAAATGAAAATATATTGAATTGCACATCAAAAGCTCTTAATGGATTCCTAAGATCTACTTGTTTTATGAAACTACAGTTCTATAAAATATCTATGTTAAAGGATCATAAATATGGTGATGAAAGTTCTTTATAATACTAGTTTTTATGATATCAAATATAAGTTGTAATAGATTTTCGTTGTGTTTCTCAGGCTTTTTAGGAACCTCCTATCGTTGTTGAAGCTAACCTAGTTTAATATTTTGAGTCTATTTTTTGTCTCTTTATTATATAGCAAAAACAAAATCATATAAAACCGATGACAAAGTATTGACCTCATATACAGTCTACAATTGTATGAGCTATGTTGTTCAATTAGGGTATCTCCATGAGGCAGTCATATTTAATCTGTTCCCGATTGTTCACATATTTCGAGGCCTTCACGATGCAAAACATTAGCATTCCATCACCAACCTGACTCTCATAAGTTTGCTGGTATCATGAGAGAGAATGTGACCGCTAATATTAAACGTTAAGGTAGGCTTTGTGCTTATCTTACCTGAATCTTGCCTGTAATTGAAATTGGCTATGGTTGGATAAGTCATCATCAGTAATGGTGTTACGTGGTTTTTAACACCTGACTATGCATGGGTCTGGATATTGTTATGAAATGGCATCGGAAAACCTCTATCAAACATCAAAAGAAAGGCCAATTTCTGGTCAAGTATATTTCCCAAGACGATTGGTTCACATATTATTCGGAACTTTACTGCATCAGCAAAGAGAAGTGCGGGTTGTGGATTCGGCACTGATACTGATTGCTCCTCATCCATTAGTAACAGTGAACCTATCAGTTCCCGAGTGATATTGATATTTGTGCTGACTTTTCGTGGACCTCCTACATTGACTATGTGTTGCTAATGTGAGTGAGCGATACGTGTTTAAAAACTCACATGTAATCCCCCTATTGAATGGAAGAAGGGGCGGTCGGGTAGCCAAGTGGTTAAGGCGTTAGCTCGTCACGCCGAAGACCCGGGTTCGATTCCCGACATGGGTACAATGTGTGAAGCCCATTTCTGGTGTCCCCCGCCGTGATATTGCTGGAATATTGCTAAAAGCGGCGTAAAACCATACTCAGGCAGGAATGGAGGATCCGCATACCTTTCAGGTTGAAGACACGACTCCACACTACCTTGTAAACTCACGGGTATATTCCGAGTCTCTGCTTACTTTCTAATATATACACGCTTACAAAGGAAAAGACCTGTGAAAACAACGTCCATCGCGCATTGAAGAATTTCCCAACCAAGACGTAGAGAAACAAGAACGAATCCGTTCAAATGAAGGAAAACAAAATGCAAATTTCATAATTACAACCGACCAAATTTATGTGTATAAATTTTAGGTAGCTTCCTTGTTCTCGAGGAATATATCCGTGAATATCCACACAAAGCAACAATATCCCACTCGTCTGCAACTGTACAAAGAAACTTATTCGATGTCACGTGTCTCAGTAACAATCAAATATTTTAAAAGATATATACCGTTTCGGGATATTATAAGCCGTGTTCGTTTCTCAACTGATCACTTGGATTGTTTCAGGTGTTTTACATAGGTGTCAAGTCTCAATGGTCGGCTGAGAAAGCCCACGTGACAACTATTTTCATAACGTCCACGGTTCCTAAAAAATCCATTGAGTGATAGCTAACAATGATCAATCAATCAACGTATTATCAGTTAACCCTTTGAACAAAGTATGTTGTTTTTAGATCGGCACTTCACACCATGATATGAGTGTATTCCCTTTGTTTTAGTAAACCTAGACATGTAAACAATCTCTCTTGACATATCCACTGTGCAAGATAACAGTGATTAATCAATCAACGTATTTTCTGTTAATCCTTTGATGACTAGGAACGATCCGTTGATTTACAAAAAACGTAAATCAACTGATCATTCATCTCTTGCTGGGCTGCCACGTGCATATTACATAACACACATTTCACCTCACTTCAAACCTGGATTTAGATTGAATAATTACCCCAGACACAATAAATGCCAAATGGGAACCTTTGTCAGGTAATCTAAGTGGCGCTACCACTAATTGTACCTGTAATAAATTCATTAACTGAGCATCAAGTGAATGACGACAAATACACAAGTGTAGGGTTATACGAGAAAACGTGGATGACAACAAGGGAGTAGTAATCGTATTATCGCCGCAAGCCGAAATCCGAAAATGCTTTCACTGCATGGATACTTTTTTTAGTATTAAACTATAACCATCTGGGGTATTCCCAAATGACGACATCCGATGAGCTCCGCTGTTCTTTTTGTCTGTTTGTTTAGGCTGAAGAAATTAATTAACGTGCGCCCTTTGTCGAAATCTTTATAGTTCACAGTTAACCAATCAGTGTTTATGCAAAAATGCGTAAAACAAATATTGCCTCCAGCCTCCAAGTTTATTTAGCTCTCCTTGCAGACGGTAGCCCAGTCTCTGGTCACGCTCAGTTGCGTTGCGTATCATCCGGGTACTCACGGGGGAAAAAACAATAACAAAGGCAACAACCAGTCCGGGGAATTGCGTTAGATCAGTGCCCCTTTAACGTCTTTCGGTATGACGCGGCCGGGGATCGAACCAGGACCTTCCGCTCTCGGGGTAGACGCTCTTTTACTGGACCACAGAGGCGGTTCTCGCAAAGGTAACAGTACATATTCAAATCAATAACGAAATGAGTTGACACACTTACGCACTTTAATTGGAATGTCAGTAACTGGAGGGAAACTGGAATTCAAACCCAGAATCATCGGATACTTGCAAGTTTAAGGAAGTCAACTCTGCAAAGTGAATTATGGCAACGTAGACGACTCGACAACCCTTCCCACCCTCTCCACGTTCTCCACCCTCTCCGCTATCCCACCCTTTCCTCATTCTCCACCCTCTCCTCTTTCTCCACCCTCTTTTCATTCCCAACCTCTCCTCATTCTCCACATTTTCCACCTTCTCCCCATTCTCCACCCTCGCCTCATTCTCCACCCTCTCCTCATTTCCACCCTCTCTTCATTCTCCACCCTCTCCTCATTCTCCACATTTTCCACCTTCTCCCCATTCTCCAACCTCGCCTCATTCTCCACCCTCTCCTCATTTCCACCCTCTCTTCATTCTCCACCCTCTCCTCATTCTCCACATTTTCCACCTTCTCCTCCCTCTCCTCATTCTCCACCTTCTCCTCATTCTCCCCCTCGCCTCAATTTCAACACTCTCCTCATTCTCCACCATCTCCCCATGCCCACCCTCTTCTCATTCTCCACCCTCGCCTCATTCTCCATCTTCTTCTCATTCTCCACCCTCTCTTCATTCTCCACCTTCTCCTCATTCTCCACCCTCTCCTCATTCTCCTCCCTCTCTTCATTCTCCACCCTCTCCTCATTCTCCACCTTCTCCTTATTCTCCACCTTCTCCTCATTCTCCTCCCTCTCCTCATTCTCCACCCTCTCTTCATTCTCCACCTTCTCCTCATTCTCCACCCTCTCCTCATTCTCCTCCCTCTCCTCATTCTCCACCCTCTCCTCATTCTCCACCTTCTCCTTATTCTCAACACTCTCCTCATTCTCAACACTCTCCTCATTCTCCACCCCCCTCCCCATTCCCACCCTATCCTCATTCTCCACCCTCTCCTTATTCTCCACCCTCTCCTCAGTCTAGGAAACAGAAATATGCACATGTCGTTGTTTTGGTAAAACCGTAAATCACAGCGACGATACGCCTTATATATAAGTAAAAGTGATAAAA